AAATTAGTATTTTGATTAATTTCATTCTAATAAATTTATTTCAAAACTAAATATCATGATATCTTCTACACACTTAACAAATCAAAAACAAGATCAGTCACAAGCTTTTATATCAAATTAAGATAGAGAACAATAAAATTAAGAATAAGAACTTTTATCACTATATACCTAAAACAGTCAAGTATTTAAAATTAACTTCTATAAAAATATTAGAGAAAACATTTGCTCAAGAAATAATTTATTGATAACTTTAGCATTTAGTGATCTAAATTTTATTATAAAATCAAAAGTGTATCAATAAATAATGACAAATATAATGAGTTTCACTCCTAATTATAAAAAAATAGTTCATATAACCAAGATAAACAATCACCTATAGAGATTAAATAAAAAGAAATTATTCCTATAAATTTAAAAAATAACAGGAAAGCTTAGAATTATTAAAAGAAGCACCTACTAATCAAAAGGCTCTTTATGGGTTAAGTATATATATTATTTTTAATTAGGTTTAATTTTAATTCATAAGAGATAATTCATTTAAGCAGAGTATAATTATTAGAACTCTTATAGTTAAATGCAAATATAGCAAAGCAGAAAAAAACTATTGAATTTAAAAGTGGATGAATTTCTCATTAAACTAAAACTATTAGAACCAAAGTAGGAAGATATGGAAGATTAGTTTTCAACTTTTGAAATCAGTTTGGTATAAATATATAACCTTTTTTCAAGTTATAATTGAGTTTAGAGAGCTGAAATTTTATCTATTTACTATTTTTTAATTTTTATCATTAAGATTACTGATAAAAATGTATCCATACGTTTATAAAATAATCCTAAAAATAATTAAAATTTAGATTACAAGCATGTTCAAAAAAGCATTTTATAAACTAATTAATAACTAAAATTATATATATGTATTATTTATATTTAAGTACAAAAACTAAATATTAAATGCTTAAGATTTCATCAAAAGACTGATCAATTTAAAAATCTGAATCTTTTTAAAAGAAATATTTTCCAAATATTAAGCAATAGTTCCAGAATTAACTTAAGATAACATAACTATTTTAATAAATTAATACAATATTAAGGATTGGTGTCCATTCCTAAATTTTAAGATTTTTACATAATGTAGATTATTGATATATTTTAAATTAATATTAATTATATGAATTTATAAAAAATGATAGAATTTGGCAATGGCTATAAATTGTCTAATTTTCGATTAAAATAAAATTATATAATGGATATTTTATTCTAAAAGAAATGTTCTCTACATGATTAAGAAATTTTAGCAGTAAGGAAAGGATTAGATAATAACTACGAGAATAAATATTTATGCCCTTAATGTTTAATC